TTAGACACCCGTTAGCCAAATTGGAAGTTAAGATAATCAATCTTTGATTGATATAGTATTTTCATGTTATGTGGTTGTTTTACGGTACTTGCACCTATTGTTGCTTCTATGCAAAGAATTTGCCTAAATAAGTAACCACAACATCACTGATACTCCTTTATTCTGTACCTCTCACTAATACTATTTGATAAATTCAACTAAAAATTATTTTTGGATACAAATTTGAGGTTGTGCCCGTTGGCAAAGATACAAAGGACTTCTAAGTCAAGATGATGACCTATCCCAGTCTTTAAGGTATAAAGATGCATTACCCTGACTCTTTCCTATCACTATGCACCAATGTGGGAACGGGGTGGCTAGTAGGGCGATCAACTGCTAAAATTTTAAAATTCTTATTTTTTTGTTATTGAAATTAAGGGATAAATGAGTCTAATCAGGAGAACATCTTAATGTTCAAATTTTTTTATTATTTTTAATGAATTTGAAATTGTGTTCAATATTGACTTGTTTATTTATAGAGTTGAAATTAAATGAAAACTCAAGTCGAGCTTGAGCAGGTTAAACTTTTTTACATGTAATCAAAACTTGATTTGTTTTTCAACCCCTATTAGAAAATTATTTCTTTTCAAGTGGATCCTTAGCAAAATTAGTTTTTGCCACCTGACAATATGTTTAAAATCAAAAGTGGCCCTCAGTCTTGTACACGTCCAAGTTTGCTCCTCCTCCCATCCATCCCACCCTGCCCCACTCCACCATACTCATTGCCAAAGCTTCCCTTTCTTCAATTGTCTCCTTTTCCCTTCTTGTCCTTCATCAATATCTTCCAAACATTCCATGATCGACTCGGTTATCATGACTTTGATCAACAGCAAATGTTTTTACAAGTTTTCGAAAATGAAGGTAAAAGTAGGACCAAAAGGAATATGAAGATTGTTTTGAAACTCTCTACGGTAAATGAAGCTACAATTTATCCCCAGCTAGTGTACAAGGAAGACTTCATAGCTCCTTTGGCTATTAGAAGGTAGGGTACAACACCTCATTGAGGTTTTCTCCTGTGGCTAGGCTGCGGTTTTCACTATGCCTCTCTTTTCTTTTGAAGGCAATCCACGAGGCCTTTAATTGTGGCGTATGAGAGTACAAGTTAGAAGATTTAAAGAAGCACTTAAGCATTTAGAAGATTTTACTTTTTACTTCTTCGAGTTACATATGTATGATCCTATAATGATCAGAGTTCTAATGCGGTTATATTATTCTTTCAAGAAAAAATTTTACTTATGTTTGTGTCTCCTTATCTAGAGATCATAGGCTTTTATATCTTTAATCTCAAATTCAGTGAATAAGATAAGATTAAGGACATATTGATGGATATAACACATGGATCTTATTTTTCATCATAATGCTCAAATTCTATCCCTTGAGAATTGCAAGAAAGTAGAGTAAATGCTCTTCGTATACGTCTCTACTAGTGTGAATACCCGTGCTACGCATGCTGTTTATGTTATTGAAATAAATTAAAAGATTATACCATTTTAATTTGAAAAAAGTTAAAAAATTATACCAACATAATTAAAATTTAAGATTTGTCTAACAATAGTTCAAAGTATGACAAAATCTGGAGATCATTCAAGAATTGCGTTTTTGCGGAAGATGGATATTAAAATAATAATAATAATTTATATTAGAAAATGAATGATATATGGATAGAAATAAATGTAATTGCATGTTTTACTTGATTCCAAAATAAAATACTTACAAACATTATGCATTTGATTTGATAATCTTGTACAAAGGTGCAAACATTTTTCACATCAATCAACTTTTAGTATGAAAATTAATATTGGCGGTTTAATTAATTCTATTGAATTTTGTAGAGTTCGTACTACAAAAAAATGTTCAGCGATACTTGTATTTCTTGGAACTAAACTTCCTGAACCTTTTTAAAATATTTCATTGGGATCACTATGGTGTGAGATTCGTTTTATGATCAGTTATTTTTTTCTTTGTAATCTTGCAGGTTTGGAATTAAGACGCCATTAAAATCAATGATAGAACCAATGGGGGCTAATGGAGGCCATAACCCTCCTCCCCAAGTTTTAGAAATTTTAATTTATATTATGTAAATATCTGTGTAAAATAAAGTTGGCCCTCCAAATTTTTTCCAATTTTAGTTTATACTATGAGAATATATATATAAGTATATATGTGTGTGTGTGAATTAACTATATTTGAATTAATTTTTGTACTTAAAAAAGTTATTTATTTTTTTGCATCCCTTTATAATTAAAGTTGATAATTGATATTTTTAGATGCCATGTATTTAAATAGATGAAAATTATTTCAAAATGAAATACTTACAAACATTATGCATTTGGTTTGATAATTTTGTACAAAAATGCGAACATTTTTTACATCAGTCAACTTTTAGTATGAAAATCAATATTGGTGGTTTAATTAATTCTGTTGAAATTTGTGGAGTTGATACTATAAAAAAATGTTCAGTGAGACCTGTATTTTTTAGAAGTGAACTTGCTAAACCTTTTTAAAATTTTTCAGTAGAATCACCATAGTGTAAAATTCGTTTTGTGACCAATTGTTTTCTCCTTTGTAATCTTGCAGGTTTGGAATTAAAATGTCATTGAAATCAATGATGAAACCAATGGGGGCTAATGGGGGCCATAGCTCCCCCCGTCCCTCAAGTTTTAAAAATTTTAATTCATATTGTGTAAATATTTGTGTAAAACAAAGTTAGTTCTCCTAATTTTTTAAAATTTTAGTTTATATTATGAAAAAATATATATATATGTATGTATATATGTGTGCGTGTGTATGTGAATTAACTACTTTTGAATTAATTTTTTTCTTAAAAAGTTATTTATTTTTTACATCCTTTATAATTAAAATTAATATTTGATTTTTTTAAATGTCATATACTTAAATAAATAAAAATTATTTTGAACATAACACATAAAAATAATTTCGTGATACTACAACAAAGTGTTCAGTGAGACCTGTATTTCTTAGAAGTGAACTTATTGAACCTTCTTAAAATATTTGAGTAGGATCACCATATTGTAAAATTTGTTTTGTGATCAGTTGTTTTCTCTTTTGTAATCTTGCAGGATTGGAATTAACATGCCTTTGAAATCAATGATGGAACCAATAGGGGCTAATGGGGGCCATAGTTGCCCTCTCCCCAAAGTTTTAAAAATTTTAATTGATATTGTGTAAAATAAAGTTAACCCTCCTAATTTTTTATAATTTTAGTTTATATTATGAGAATATATATATATGTATATATAAGTGCTTGTGTGTGTGAATTAACTACCTTTGAATTATTTTTTTATTAAAAAGTTATTTATTTTTTACATCCATTTATAATTAAAATTAATATTTGATATTTTTAGATGTTATATGTTTAAATAGATGAAAATTATTTTAAACATAATACACAAAAATAATTATGTTAGGAAAAATTTTAGCCCCTCTAGAAAAAAAATCTTGGTTTCGTTACTGATTGAAATATTTGTAAGTGAGATTTATCCATGGTGAAAGTATGATACATAATTTTTTTCACTGTATTTAATTTATATGATGACAAATGAAATGGGTAAATTGGATTAGTGATCATCAATTTTGTGAATGATTATGAGAGTAAAATATATTATGACAATAAGATACGTTGAATTGTGAAAATTATAATTTAAACAGGCTCCTAAATTTTGGATATGTGACTTTCGTAGTTGCGAATTTCTTAAATTAACAGTTAGTTATTACTATCAGTGATGTGGTAAGTGTCAGTAGTAAATGTGAGACGTGAATTGGAATTTTCAGATATTATTTTACAGGGGTGGTTATTATCTGTTAGTTAAAGTTTAGGAGTTTTAATTTGATGGGTTAGTGGGAAAACGTGGGGGAAATGTGGGAAAAACATGAGTATGATTATAGGGTTTGTAGGAACGGTTACAGGATTAGTTAAGAGATAAACATTTCTTAATTATAAAAATATAAAATTCTATTAAAATAGCATTCAGACTTTTGACAATTTTGGAAGCTGCTTATCCAAAACCCCATTTGCAATTTATATAGATATAGATTCCTTTATGAACGGACTTTGCACCATCGTGGGCCGACTTCCCGACACCAGGGGCGGATTTAAGGTGGGGGCACGGGCCCCCACTGCCCCCCTTAAATTCCTATAATATTTATACAATTTTGATATAATTTTAAGTGTGCCCCCGGAATTTTCTTAGAAAGGATGTGAAAGAATTATGTGATTTTCTAAATTAGTTCATAAACTAAAATTCTAAAAAAATATGTGAGGCACAAATTACTTTTGAAATAAGCTAAAAAAAACCTTTTCATTTGAACTAATAAATACTAATCATATCATTCACTTTTTTTGGACCCCACTCCCCAATTTCCCTTCTCTCCTCTGGTCCCCCATTCCCTCCCCCCCTCCCCCCACAACCGAGAGTCACTACCTTCTACAACCAAGCAACTAGAGTACTATTTCTTTTGATCATTTCATCCAATCATATTATTCACTTCCTTTGTCCCCACTTCCCAATTTCCCTTCCCTCCTCTGGTCCCCCTTTTTCCCTCTACAACCGAGAGCCATTCTTACTTCCACAAGCAAGTTAGTTATCAAAATATGAAAATTCGTCGTGAGCAATTGTAAATAGTTTAATTTATTTTTGAAATAAAATTATTATTATATTAATAATTTTGAATTTGTCTTTTTATGTTTTTCATGGAATATATGCATCATTTGTACTTGTTGGTGATTTTTTTTTGGCTTAAAAAATTTTTAAAAAAAAGAGTAAATAAAAAATTTTAATGTTACTTTTGCCCCCACTAAGGATTTTTTCTGGCTCCGCCACTGCCCGACACTTTTGACGGCAAAGTGGCATAGATTTTCCTATAAATAGAGATCAATCAATACCAGATTTCTCATCCTTCCCAAAATCAGTGTTCAATACATAAATTTTCCTTGAGCAAAAATGGGTTCCAAGACACTTTTTTTCTTTTGCATCTCCTTGGCTATAGTCCTAACAATTACCTCACAGGTGGCTGCTAGGGAATTGGCTGAGACTTCCACGACGGTTGACAATCGTAAGACAGTTATTCTCTTATCCACATATTCCAATGTCCTCAATTTGTTTTTCTTTGCTCCTAACTTCTCTTATGTTACCTATTAATAGGTTGTGATCGTTACTAATTCTGGTTGGGATTAAGTTACCGATTAATAGGTAATGTTTAAACAATTTTAGGGATATCTAAAAAATCACCGATCTTGACTTACACGTCAAAAGACAAATTTTTAACCTGAAAATCGATTTGGTATTCTTTAAAACAAAAAACATGCAACACATTAGTCCAAAATCTGGAATTTCAAATTGTATGAACCTAGTCCGGTAGTCCCCAGATGAGTTTATTTGACAAGGTCATTCCTAGATTACATTAGTGAATGTACATGCTTTATTATCCTCAATGCAGCCAAGACACTTGAGACTCGTCCTGCCTATGGGGCTCCTGTAGGAGGAGGCCAAGGAGGGGACCCTGGAGGTTGGCATCGTGATGGTGGCTACGGACGAGGTGGGGGCGGCCGCTATGGGGGATATCCTGGTCAGGCTGTGGATGCTGAGCCTTAGAACTAATAAAGCCAGCTTCAACCTAGGTCATGAATACTTAAACAGGCTTACTATAATAATACGCATACTTTGTAGTGTGAAATACAAATAAGAGCCGGATTAGTCATCATGTAATGTGACCACCATGTATTTGCTAGCTAGCTAGTTCACTATTCCAAGTATGCGATTTTTTTTTTAATTTTTGGATGTGATGGCCAAAAAATGAGTAATGTTATTATTTCAAATTGACAACAAAGCCAAGCGTACATTTTGGTTGGTTTATAAATCAGTTGATCATTATCAAAATTCGTTGTACCCTTTTTCTTTTTTTTGGGCAAGCTTAATTAAGCAATACAAATGTTTTCAATGAGCTCCATCTTCTATTTGGTTCGTTATTCGTTTGGTTTATTATTGATTTTCAATATGGCCCTCACTCCTATATACCTGTCTGTTGAATATAGTATGTAAGCTGAAAAGAACTATTAAAACCAAATATTAAGTCTAAACAAAAAAATTAATGGTCAAAAGCTGCAGAAAATTTTGTTTATGTAAGTTAGATTCACGACCTATTTCTCTCAAAGCATAGCGGCCGTGGTTTGAGAGAAAGTTTTGGACAGATGATATCGATGAAATCTAAAATTTTACATTGCAGTTAAAAACTCAACCGAAACATTGAAGAATGTCTAAGACAGAGAAGTTTTAATTGCTGATGTAACAAATGCATTGCAAAATTTTTCCACCAGGAAAGTTAGTTGGGTGCCTAGGGGTATTAACATTGTTGCCCTTGAGATGGCAAAGTATGCTAGTTCAATTGATGATTCTATCACTTGGGGATTCTTCCCCACATTTTGAACTGTCCACCCTTTAATCTTTATACGGACTCATCAATTCATTAATATTATAGGCTTTTTTCTATCAAAAAATATATTTGATTTTTATTCATATTGTTCTATTCATCAAAATATGAACAACACACACAGATGTGTCTGTATATATGTGTATATACATGTGTGTGTACTAGACGCACAACAACATCAAAAAGTTAATGATAATACTGTAGTCGTGCTTCTTTTTAATCAAATTTGAGATTGTGCTAAAGCTGTAGAAAAGGTAACTCAAGTAATTCTTGGAGAAGGAGTACTAATTACCTGATATCTAAACCACAATCAGTCTCTGTAGGTTGAGATATTTATGTTGTAGTTCTATATTAGATAAAAAGTGAGATTAATTTCGGCCAAAATTAGGAGAAGCATTTGTTTAAATTCAAGAAATTTTGGACTAATTATATTGATGGATTCTAAAACTTTATTAGCCTAAAAAGTTCAATAATAAGATAACATACTCAATAGAAAAATACAAGCATAATATTGTGGGAATACATACAAGAAAGCTACTAATTTTGTTTCAAGAATCGATTCTAACATACAGCTCTTGAGCATTTTACATTCTATATTAACACAAATTATTGTGCTTCACAGAATTAGAAGAAACTTGAAAACTTTTCGCGTACTTTCAACATGCCAGCATCCATAATTAGTGAGCAATGTAAGTTATTGCACACTGGCTTAATGAAAATGCATAAGGTAAGATTCCAAAAAATACTTGCAAAACCTGACCCAGTCAGCCATTTGGCCTGTCAACTAGCCACTTGAGCTAGATAGATAGATTATGTAACATGGAGAATCTTTGTCACTGAGCTAGTTGGTTGTTTATTTGCAGAATCAAACTTAGGTGGGTTTTTGTCGGACCAAACTCAAATCGAGTTTAAGTAGATTTGATTCTTTTACACGTAAATTTCACTTGTATACTAATAGAGTTAAGTTTGAGTTGTGTTTGACAATTACAAAACACAAAATGCCGTTTAAGTTTAGTTTAAATAGTTGACGAAATCAAACTCAAATGAGTTTTTACCAAGCCAATCTTAATTCGAATATCAAGTAATTGAATTTATTTTTAGCTTTTATTGGAGTATTAGTTCTTTCAAGTGGATCTTTTCGATTCGAATATGAAGTAATTTATTTTTATCACCTGACAATATATTTAAAGTCAAACTTGGCACTAACAAGTCTTGTAAGTCCAATTTCTGGCCCCCACCTCCGCTCTACTCAACCCATCATGTTCATTGCCAACGCTTCTCCTTCTTCACTTCTCTTCCTTTTTCTTTCTTATCCTCCATCGATATCTTTCAAACTTTCAAACGTTTCATATTTGACTCGATCATCATGACTTAATCAATGGTAACTGCTTTTATAAGCCTTGAAAATAATGGGAAAAGTAGGACAAAAAGGAATATGGAGATTATTTAGAGAGAACCCATGATTATCCCTACTGTACAAGGAGGACTTCAAAGGTCTTCTTGTTCTGTCCCTTATCCTTCCTTCTTCATTGTCTTGGGCTTCTTGCCTTCCCTTATATTTTCTTTTCTTTCATTATAAAAATTAATGCTACTATGGTTTAGAAAGACCGGAGTTCTGAAAGTGAAGTTCATTAGGCTATTTACAGTCAATATAGGCGATTTTAAGATGTTGGACCCACCAAGGCCAAAGTCATGGCAGCCTTAGCAAAAAGAAGTAAATTCTAAACCCACCAACGATAATCAATATTAAATATTTTGTTGATTTTAAAATATACTTCAAGTTGAAGGATGAGATAAACTTGACTATTGCGTGACTCTCGAAAATGTATTTTGTAGCAAAGTCTATTCAAATGGGTTACCAAACACTTATCGTTTAATTATTTTTTCAAATGAATTTCCATCTCCAAAGAGTTCATTACAAATGGCTTCCGGAGGGCTCTACTGGCTCAAACCTTTGTCAAAAACCAGCCCGTAGTCAGCATAGAAGGAACCGGTGATCCAAATGTTGCGTTGAAAGAATGTACCCAAGATTCAACTCAGTTAATAAAGACATTAATTAAATGATTGTGAGATGCATCCTCATAAGTCTTGGAGTCTCACTTCAACTTGAAAAAAAAAAAAATCCAAGTTCTTGAAATGTGCCGAAATTATTACATAGTCCTATGTTCTTTTTCCCAACAACATTAAGAGAATAGAAAATCTCTCCTTAAATGGTAATTAGGTAATTGTAAATCTCTCCTTTGGCTGGCTGTTAAGTCTTTTCATTTTCCTCTTCCTTCTCATAAGGTTTAGTGTCACTCTTTTAAGAGAATAGAAAAAGTGTTCTCTTGGATAAATGATCACTTCATAGTCCGAAGTCCTAACAAGTCAAACGAGTATATTTACAATTTACAATAACAAGTCGAGTCAATAATAAAATTAATTTGTCCCAAAATAACTAATTGCCAAAATAAGTAGATTTGTATTTATAAGTCAAGTAAAAAAAATCAATAAAAAAATACTAATTCTAAACAAAATGTAAATAGTACAGACAATTAGGTAAGTATTTATAGACAATTCTTACTTCTTAACTTCGCATATGAATCTTCACGGACAATGCTTTAGTAACGATAGTTATGGTAATGAAACAGTTTTTACCTAATATAACAGGTTGTTGTAATTTTAACGATCATTTGATTACTTATTTGACCCATCTACCTAAGTAGGATAACACCTAAAAATATGGAAGTAAGTTTTCCATCTAAAATAGTAAGTTAACCTTAATAGATTAGTAATTTTTATACCTCAAAAGGAAAATTGGAATAATTAAACTTACTTTTTAAATAAGTAAATTAGTACTTTATATCCCAAACTTACTTTTTAAAGAGTAAGTTTAGTTCAAGTAATAGTAAGTTTTTATACATAAATAGTAATTCTTACTAATAACATGGTAAATTTGATTAATGATCAAAACTTACTAATTTTTGGTATACATGTACAATTTTACATTAAAAATTATCTCAAACTAGTATTAGGAAGTTTATTTGAAATAATGATAAGAGGTTTTATTAATGATTAAAACTTAATACCTTAGTTCGTAAGTACTCATAATATACCTATATAATAAATGGTTATAGGTATAATTTAATTTTTTTTGTATTTATATATTTTAAAATACTATGAAAAGTAGTTTCACTTTTAAGATAACCTTGTAAAATATGTAATAAAATTTTGTCATATTATAAGTTTTTAATCATTTTCAATTTTTGAAAAGTTTGAAAGTTTGGATAACAATAACAACAAATCTTCCTAGTTATATATAGAATATCACTTGTTTATATATCACAATTTTTATAATTTAACACCTATGAATATAATAAGATGATAAAGTTTTAATAATTTACACCTGGGACACAAGAATTAATAAGAGTTAAAGCTCAAACAAAACGAGAAATAGTATAACAATAAAAATGACAAAATCAGTATAATAATTAATATAAGAAAATCAGTATGATCTGGACTTTTTTCCGTGGGAGAATGTTCATAAAAATAAGATCCAACAATTAAATGAAAATCACTTGCACATATAATCTATTGTATAATTTAAATTAAATTCAGTTCATGTATAAAATGGTCAAAAAATAATTAGCGCACTATGATACGATGTTATTTTAACAAATGCTCTTTGTATACATTTAAATCTTCATGTGAATTTGGTGTATTGATTGGACTTCTTGAAGTTCGACAGCCAGTGGTGTAAACTTAATTCGGCTATTGAGTTTTCGGTTTTGCAGTTAATATTGGGCTTTAGAAGAGACTTCAGCAAACGTGGGATTTGGGGATTAAGCATTTGGAGGTTGAGTCCAACTCTAAAGCAGGGGTCCATTTAGTCTATCATGCCATTTCAGTCTCTTATTGCAAGTTCAGCGATTTCCTAAGCAGAAATTGAGAGTGCAAATGCAATTCTTGTGCTAATATTTTGAGAAGATTAGTTTTAGTTTGCAACTCATAATTGACAAGTAGTCTTGTAATTTCGACTTAAAACTCCCAGCGAAATTGAAAAAAAAAAAAAAGAAAAAGGAAAAGATTGATCTCCCATTTATTCTAGAGGCTATATGATTTATTGAATTTAAATCAAATGGCCAATCAAAATTTCGTATAGAAGCAAGCACATTCAGTCATTCAT